ATTCACAAGCTTTTGGTTGATATGAGTGACAATTATTGTCCCTTGTAGAGATTCAAGTTTCATCCAAGCAAGAGAGGCAGAATTGGAACAGTTGCTCATTGAGCAGTAGCGAGGGCAGGAGACCCAATTCTTGAACCCTGAGACTCTAGGTATAGTCCCACACTATGAGAGAGGAACCCCCAGAACAAGCAAGAACAAGCTACACTAACAATATTAATAAAAAAGCTATGAAGTATAAAAGTAATTTACAAATCTATTTATAAGTTCTATCACAAGAAAAAGCTGAAGAAATCCAAAGATGCAGGGCTTCAGATTCAGGCCATGGAATGGTAAGAAAGAACCGGAGAGAGACTGGTTCTTAAGAGCACAAGGAGCTCTACTGTGTTTGTGCAGGCCAATGACTATTGCTTGGTAGAATTTCCAGACTTTATCCACACCCGTGGGTACAAAGTGAATATCTGCAGATTTATAGGGCTCTAGCCATTAAGTACTTTTTAGAGTAAAATTGTCTACTAGTGTCAGGATGAACAGAGCTGATAAATTAGTGTAAATATTTCAATATTCTTTCTTGAAAGGGCACGTCAATTAGTTGACTAAATTGGCAGCTTAATTAGTAAACTACAAACATCTATTCCTTTTCCCATAAGAGGGCAAACAAACAAACAAACATACATACATACATACATTTTTGGTGAAATGCCTTACTCAACAGAAATTGCTTTAACTCTACAGAAGAAATTAGTTATTTGGCAGTTTGTTGAAATATACGTTGGGATTGGAGAAGTGGTATAGAAGGTATTCTGAGCAGTTAGCCCATGCCCCAGAAAAAGAATAGTATCTAAAGACCAATTTACATTTTACCTACCAAGAGTACTTCAAGTCCATAAATTACACTGTGAACACAGAAAACTAGTCAGAAAATGGGGGGAGGGGGAGCATTTCATTTAAATGTAAGATAACTATGTGGCATTCATCTCTATTTTCTTAAGGATTCATAACTCTAATTATGTCTCAGTATCATTTCCAAAGCAATGTCTAAAACATTCATCCTCTAACATGCTTGCATTCTACCCTAATCACTTCCCCCCCACTCATTATTGTGAATCATTTTCCACAGGTGTTGCATGTTCTAACATCTACTGTGTACTAACTTTAAATTGTGCACTTAATTTACTTCTGAAAAAAACCTGACCATGAATCTACACTACAAAAGACATTAATAAAATGTCATGAGAAATGAGTACCGGTCTTTATACTCCTCCATCGAAAATGGGCTCTGAAGTTAAGGAAATTAATTGTGAAATCCTAGATTATTCTATATCATTAACTCACTCTATTGGCCATGGGTTAATACTGCAGCACAGAATGGTATGAAAAGTCAGCCACTATCATTGTTACATCAATATTTAGAACTTGATATTTAAAACACAGAATTACCACCTTCATTTGGAATCTTCTTGTTTTTATTGGCTTCCTACATTCTCAGGACCTTGAAACCATTACTGGAGAGGACCAGACAGATAAAATTAAACTAAGCCCCCTTCCTTAAGGAAGCAGGAGCCCTCCTATAAACAACGCTTCCTGTTTCTTATTATACGCATTACTTGTGCACCTCCAGCCGAACATGAGTTTCCCTAATTAAGTCATGATTAAAGGAAGAGTTAATCAAACAATTTTCTCCTGGCACTTCTGAAGTAAGCATGCTGACATTAGACATTTAGTTAGCAACTTACACTCAACATAGTCAAAACTGAATTTTAACCTTTCCTCTGCTCTTCCTCATTCCCGAACACTGTGGATAATACCACAATTTGGGCATCAGACACCTTGGCTATCTTGTGTAGGTTATTTTAGCAGATATCACTTGGCTCAGTGTGCACCTGCCCAGGGATGTTCAAAATTCAATTTTGTAACCTCAGCACAAGCACTTGAATTCTGGCTACTTTCTGAACCAATGCACGAACAGGCATGTATACAAGCACATACGCGCATGTATGCACAGACCCAAAAAACAACTCTTAATTGCCACATTTCTTGCTTGAAATTCACAAGGTGGCAAAGAGTTTGTTCCAATGACATTTCCACATTAATCAGGTAAATGGATCGATACTTTGTGTAAAAATTAAGTCCACTACAATCTTCTGTACCTTCACAAGGTATGTGAGAAATCTGGGAAGCAAATTTAGAAACTGGATTAACAGTCTCTCTATGAAATTGGCTCTAAACTTCTAAATGCTGGCACAATCAGTACCACCTTACAAATTGTGCCGTTTTGCTCTACAGCTAATCAGAAAAGTCAGCAACCATAAAAAATGTGTGGGTTCTGATTGTCTCTCAGTCAAAATCAAATCTATTTCAATATAATTTTGTCAACCAGCCTTTCAATGTGCAGTCCCAGCACTGTTTGAAATAACGCCATTGAAAACAGCTGAAAAACAGGATTGACAGTGGAAATGCTGACAAACCTTTAACAATGCCACCTAACAATGTCACTGTCATAATGATCTTTTTTCAAGTGCAAACGTGTTAAGTCTTGTTATGCTGAGGCTCAATTTATGATCTACCACACTGTAAAGTAAATTGTGTAGATTTTAAGGAAGTATTTATCTTTAACTTCTCCACTCCTGCTTTACTCCACCTCCTAACTTGCATTGTTGGTCTCACCTATTTGTATTCTGAATTTAATGATATGCTAAAGCACATTTAGCATATCCAGCACTACAATGGGTACACAGCACTCAAACGATCCTGAAAGAAGTATGAAGCAGGTAAGCATTCAAGTAAGAAAACTTTTCACAAAATAATTTAAGTTTCATCCATTCCATCATTTGTTGTCCTTGTACTTTGTAAGCCATTCAAAAGGATATCATTACTTTTTAATGAAGCCAAGTAGAGACAACAGCCAATATTTTTAAGCCTCTCTGCTTATTGTTGAAATCACAGAAAGATGAGAAATAGTTTCTGGAGACATTTTTTAAAAAAGTGTCTGCAAATTATGTATTGGCCCTGTTGTGTGTCATTTTACTAATCCTGAAACTTTGGAATGACAATACAAGGAACCTCATCAGTTGAACTTTGGCTAAGTTAATATACAGGAGCACCTGAGTCAGTTGAGACAACTTTTTTTTAAAACAATTAAACTTCAGAGGTCTACAGAGTGTTTGAAAGAATTTTCTGTATTAACTTGTCAATTTCAATACATTAAAAAACATTCCAGTTACAGTAAACTTCCGATAATCCGGTACCTTTGGGACCCAGGGTGTGCCAGATTATCAAATATGCCGGACTATCAGAAGGGGGGGGCTATGAGGGGTCTGGGTTGGGGGGGATGCTACCCTTCCCAGACCCCCTCATAGCCCTCCCTTCTGATAGTCTGGCTCTGCCGCAGGAGTCCCCAATTCAGCTGCTGGG